GATTAATGAAGCATATTTACTAATTGCTTTAGTTTTTTTTATTTAGTGCTACTGCCCGAATCAACAGACTCATTTCAAAGATATAATAATACCAATATATATATATATATATATATATATATATATATATATATAGATATATATATAGTTTTTCGGCCCGCTTGAAGTTAAACCCTTGCTTATGCGGCCCGCTTGGAGTTAACCTTGCTTATGCCCCGATTGCTTTGAGACATTTGACATCTGGGGTTTTCAGTACATCAATACAAAAAACTCAACGATCAATCACGAAGAAACGACCCGTCAGATCTTAACAAAAAAAAATATAAATTTGTCGCGCGAGACTGATGAACGCGAGTTCTATTGAATTACCTCTAATGGCCTTTAAATTTTTGAAACACTGGTTTCACCCGTTTTTGATAAATCGCCGACGAAAGGTCAAAAATCGGTTCACATACATAAACGCACATACTTTTTCTAAATTTGGTCTCAAACGAGGCAGAATAACTTGAGAAGTCGAGAAAACATAAAATTAGCAAATCAATGTATTTAAAGATAGATTCAAACTGATGAATTTAAATGTACCGTAGAGACTGCACAGTTGTGCCAGGGTGCGATAGTGATAGTTGTCCTAATGGCTAAACTATACTGATTTTGAGACAGGGTCCGTCCCTGGGGTATTGTCAGTCACTCAAGACAATATACAAAAGAGAAGAGAAAAAAAAAATCAATACAAAAAAAAAGATTCATAACGATTTCTTGATAACTTTATTTAAAAAAAAATCGTTTTGTTATATTATATTCATAAGCTTTGTTCAAATGTGTTGTGTGTCTTACATATTTCTGATATTAAAAGTCGTTATAAACCATTTAGGTGTTCAAAGCTATTATTCTTCAACATATATTTATGTCTGTCACAACCGTCCTGGCAGTGTGTACGGTTGTGCCAATCGCCTTTGTTTTTTGTATAATTTGATTTTATGACTAATCCATTGTATTTAAGAACAGTATTTTAGAATTTTAGTAATAAAATCTTCCAATCACTATTTAATTTATTTTTCTCTCCGAGCTAACTGGTAAGTTAACAAAATTATTGCTGATAAAAAAGTACCCAGTTTCCCTCATTATAAATTTATAGAAATATATGTATATATGTATATGTATATATTTGCTATTTTTGTCGCGACGTCAAAATATATCATTGAAATGCAATTAGCCAATAAGTTAAAACAAAATAATAATGAATTATGAAAAATATTTCTCTTGCAGGTGATGAAATGATATATCGACACTAAATGATATATCATTATTCGACAAGTTTATTATTTCTTTAACCTGATGAACTAGGAGAAGTTTGACTGACGGAGAAGGTCATGCCTATAAAATAGCGACCACTGGCTATTTAAATAGCAATTAAAAAAAGAATTCTCAAATTTCAATATAATCAAAATATTCTGATTGTGAAGATATCTTGGTGTACATTAAGTAGTTGTATGTTGCATTTAACGTTAAGGCTAGTTACAAAAACTTTTCCATGTATGTAATATAAATAATCCACTACATTAATAATCTAAAATAAAAAATAAAAGTAGTTGATAGACGCTTTATTCAATGCAGAATGCAGCAAACATTTCTTTTCGTTCAACGTTAGCGTTTGCAATATTCAAAATTTAATATTTTCATCTTTTACGACTTTCATTGTGGTTTTATAACTATTTAGGTGATCATTTTATAACACTTGAAAAAAAAAACATTAATATTCCTCGAAACTTCCTAAGACGATAGAGATGATAACTATTGGTATTTAGCCTTAAGGCAAGTTACACGAACTTCCCGATATGTGCAAATAATGGACTTAATCAATAATAAACAAATTAATTTATGAGTGATTAGAAGTATTCCGAGTGGATTTATTACACACAATTGAAAACGAACAAACACGTAAACTCGGAGTATTTTCTAAAAGTATCACAAATCAATAATTTTTATAATTGAAACCAGTTTTCGTAGGACGTTAATGGTTTAGTATGTTCATTAAGACCAAGTAATGTATCGTTATACCAAGTAACTCATCTAATTTTAATTTTAACAAACGTCAAAAAAACTACTCATTTTCTGAAACTTTGATGATTTTTATCTTTATCTCTATAAGACCATGATATATATCGCCTAAAAAAGTTCCATAAAAATCGGCTTAATTTTTTTTTCAACAGTTAATTACAAGAAAACGGCTCTGTAGATTTTCACCTAAAACTAATCAGTATTATTCCCAACTAATATCTTTCGAACAGTTTTTGATTTTTTAAAAACGATTCGGTAGAATGAGCTTAAATGTGGACGAAAAGTTTAACACTCTTTTTCAAATTACAAAGAAACGGCTCGGCAGATCGTCTCACAAAACTGGCAAACTATAGTGCTCATTGAGATACATCGAATGGCTTTTAAATTTTTGAAATCGGTTCGGGCGTTTTTGAGCAAACGTCGATGAAAGGTCTAATTTTGTCAAATGCCAAAAAACGATACCAATTTTTGCAAACTTTGACAAATTTTTAAAGCAAAATGAGTTGTCGTAGCGTAGGGCGGTAATATTTTAATATGATCTAGAGAAGACTATGGTATCTACCGTCGAAAAAAATCATAAAAATCGTCGATTTTTTTTGTTTTTAAACTTTATTACAACAAAACGGCCCGGCCGATCTTTACCAAAAATTAATCAGCACGATTCCCAACCAATATCTATCGAACGGTTTTTGAATTTTCAAAATCGATTCAGAATTGCGGGCTAAAACGTGGACAAAAAAAATTAACTTTTCTGCGAGATTTACAAAGAAACGGCCCGGCCGATTGCCGCACAAACAACTCAAAACCCTAGTCCTCATCGAGATACATCGAATGGCTTCTAAATTTTTGTAATTGGTCCAGTCGTTTTTTGAGAGAACGTTGATTTACGGCAAAAAATCTGTTCACACACGCACACACACACATACTTTTTACAAATTTGGTCTCATTCGATTCAGAATGGCTTGAAACGTCGAGAAACATAAAATTAGCGAATCGGATTGATTTTTTGACGAAAACATAAACTTCTCCTTCGGGAAGCTAATAAATGACAAAAAAAAGATAGTTCTGAGAGAACAAAGCAACCGATTTGAATGATTCAAAAAAACCTTTTGCTCGTATTGACGAAACGATTGTTTTTGAGGAAAGCAAATGTTTTTGTTTAATTTTA